GCGAGCAACATGCGGAGTGCGACGGAACAAGTTCAAATTCGGCGTCCAAATGTGGTCAGTGGTGGCTGTGCGGCTCACGTCCTAAACCTACTCATGCAGGATGTATCTCGTTTTGATGCCGTCAAAGCTATAGTGAAGAGCAGTGGCTGTCACACGCTTCGTAAGGGACCATTTAGCTCTGTTGGACGAGTTTAAGCGATTGCAGCGTGGAATTAGCGACTCTGGAATGAGGGCTCGAAGTCTCGTATTGCCTGTACCAACACGTTGGTATTCTATCCACGCCTGTATGCGGAATGTGCTAAACAACCGAGAAACTCTGGAAACACTCTTTTTGGACCCGAGCTATGAAACGTTTCTAGATCGTTATCGTGGAACTCCGTCCAATCGAAAAAAACTACGCCTCGTTATCGAGTTGGTTCGGGATGATGGCTTCTGGAGCAGTTTGCGAACTATTTTGCGTATGTTTGACCCCATTATAGAAGCTCTCCGGGCTCTAGAAGCGGACAATGGATACATTTCCGGAGTGTATACATGGTTTCGATGGTTACGGTATCATATAGCGTATGGTGTGACTTCGGCTAATGAAGAAGAACCGGAAGGAGAGTTTGCAGTATTAGATGCTAATGGAGAAGAACCAAAAGCAGAGTTTGCAGTATTAGATGCTATTGGCTCCGAAGAAGAAGACCATGATCAGGCTGTAGATGGGATCGGGATGCTCCGTCATGCAGCCAAAACCATGTCGACGACTACTTCTTTACAAAAAAATATGAACCAAACTGCCACTGCTGACCTTCCTGATGGCGACGAGTATCAACGTATTACCGCAGTTCCACTTGGTCAACTTCAAAGTTTTTTTTGCAAGAAGATATTAAAACGATGGAAGTACGTTCATTCAAACGCAATGACTGTCGCGTTCTTACTTGACCCGGCCACTAGCCTCGACGACTTCGTCGGTGATGATGACGAAAATGTAGATGAGCAAGTTTGCATGCTGGCAACACGATGCGGCCTGATAACTCCTGCGAATATGGCCAAATTGACCGCCGAGATTCTCAAATTGAAATGCATGAAGCGGAGGGGTGGTGAAGATCTACGAATGAAGTATTTAGAAGCATCTCCACGTGATTATTGGGGTGCCAAGGACGAAAAGAACTACCCTCTTCTCAAAAAGGTAGCTCAAATGGCATTTGCGGTTCCTACGTCGTCAGCAGCCAGTGAAAGGGCCTGGAGTATATTCGACCACATTCACTCCAAGCGAAGGAACAGGCTATCAGTTGAAAAAGTTGAAAGGCTTGCCTATATCTACATCAACTATGGCACAATTCAAAGTGATGACATCGACCTTGCAAGGCATCAATCGTGTCCTGAAAGTGTAGATATCCTCAATTAAATACAACGCGCTCTTATGACTTAAATCTGTAGCTGCCCAACCTCCCTCTAGACGGTCTTTGAATAGAGCCACCTCGCAGAATTGTATCACTAATGCGTCGTGGTTGAGCAGCAGCGCCTGAAGACTACGAACGGCATCAGCCACCGTCTGCGTATTTGGCGGATACTGCAGGCAACTGACACGTAAGATAATCTTCATGAAATCGGTAAGGTAGAGTTTCGTGTGACCCAGTGTCAGATAACTAAGCAACTTACTAGAGCGAATTGCTTCATGAAGGCATCGCGAATTTCCTCCGTGTAAAGGAATCGGTTCATTCCCATCCTTCGGGGCCACTGGCTGTATATTCCCCTGCATTAACATGTCCACAGCTTTGACAGGCGTATCACAAATATTGACTTGAATAACACAAATGAGAAGTCAGTCACGCACTATATCGTAGACATAGGCAGAAAAGAGGTAACGTACTTCGGCAGTTTCAAGAACTAGAGCTGTGTGAGGCTGCGGTCCCGGTTGGCCTTCTCTTAGGCTTCTTGCATGAGCTCGAGGCTTGCAGCTACTGCCAGGTCGGGCAGTGAGCAATGCGCCGACGTCTCGTGCAGTATCCTAGCTCGTGCTGGCACTGGCAGTGCAGTAGTGCCGCAATGCTGCTCAATGACCCTCAAATGAGAATATTCTGTCTGTTAGTTTTAGATAGTTTTGAATTTTGAATGGAATTTCAGACGTTTTCTGGAAGTATATTAGACAGTTTTAAATTATTCCAAAACCATCCCTACTTGCAGCCCACATTTCTTCGTGGATACGTTGCGCCGTCACACTTGGTGCTCGACGATGCAGTCTTACCCAGTCGGTCATCCTTTAATAAGATGCGCGTTTATACGAAGGACAAGCCACACAAGTGGGACACCAAGCTCTTCATGCTATGCATCAGAGCCGACATTTTAAGCGGCTTTTACTATCGTGCATTATGCAGTTTTGTCTGACAGTTTTGGTGTCTTGTGTGCTGAATATATGCAGGTTTGAAGTTTATTGCGGTAAGAAGCAGCACGCTATAGACGCCCACAAGCCCGACACGAAATCAGGTCCTGCTGCCGCTGTCTAAAACCTGCTTGCTGCATTCGGCCCAAACGCTAGAAAGCCGGGAACGCGCCTAGTCGTCATCGACCGGTTCTATACTTCTGTGGCTTTAGCTATTCAGCTGCTGCTGATGGGGTTTTACTGCGTGGGAACATTCATGATAAACCGCTTGGGATACTGCAAAGGTGTCGTCGAGAAGAAGAAGACTCGTCCACCCGGGATTACGCGTGGGTCGTTCAAGGTGGCTACTTCTAAGCTCGTGCTAAATACGTCAGTAATATGTTGTTGGGATTCACGCCCTGTACACTTTCTCAGCACGGCAGGAAGCCTTAAACTGGATCGGGTGGTGCGACATAATGTCCCGTTCAAGAGGAAGTTCCATGCCCCAGAGTCGTAAAGGATTATCAAGCGTACGTGGGTGGCGTGGATGTCCATGACCAGCTGAGATTGCAGCATTATTCTCCCCAGCGTGCACTCCGTTTTAAAAAAATACTATAAATCGTTGGTACTGGGGATCATTGACTTAGCTATTGTAAATGTGTACATAGTCCATAAGGACTTTCACAAGAACGATCAGTCACGACCACTTACCCACGTGAAGTACATGAAGAAACTCCACCTTCAGCTGTGTCACCTACAAGCAACAGACATGAATGAGTCCAACATATTCGGCACCAAGCCACCCCAAGACAGACCTGCATATGTACCGGTCCATGTCGATGCAAACCAGTCAATTGGACACACTTCCCGTCGAGTAGATGAATGGAGAAACGACGGAACACAAGGGAAAAGACGGCAAAGGACATACAAGGTGTGCTCGCTGCTTCGAATAGACACCCAGCGAGCATCAACAACTACATATTATTGTGGCGACTGTAGCGACAAAGGGCCAGTCTACCTCTGCATGCGGGCGATTCGACAAGTGCGTGGGGTCGCCATGACATGTTGGGATGTGTGGCACAAGGCGTGGATGAACGGAAGGCTGATCCCTTTCGAAAATGGAAAAGGGGTTCGTATGCGTCAGAAACCGGCTGAAGCACCTAGTACTCCATCGACTCCGGGTACTCCTGCAACGCCAGCACCTTCCAAGAGGCGACGAACGACAACGTTACTTCTGCCCTGTATATATTTTTGTCTTTATAGTGCATAATATTCAGGATAAGGCAAGCTACGTAAGTTTTGATCCACAGCTGTGTAGCATCGAATGTCTGTTCTCATGTAAGCTCATCTCAAAGTGCATCACAAGGCTCTTGTTTCTGCTCCAGTCGAGTCGTGTTCAAACAGCTGTGGTGTCCACATATATAGCACTCTTCGAATTTGTATAGACCAGAAAACAAACAGTCTCGGGTCATTTGCTTGCGTTACTTGATAGAGGTGACACCCCAACTTTGTTTATAGAAATTTGTAAAGGAAGTTTCAGTTTTCAAAAAATTAAAATGAGAGCTGTAGACTGAGCTGGTTCTGTTCCTATGTTTTCAGGAGTCGTCCTGATTATTTTCATTTTATACTGCATAATGCAATTTACATATGGCAACCTTACTACCAATATGCAGGTTTGGGCAGTTTAATCGCTGCTTTGCGCAGTTTTGCAAATACCGATTTTTATGAGCGAGCTACACCTATCCCATTTAATACAGATACCAAGTTTAATAAAGCTGCATATGCAGTTTAAATGTGACTTTTGGTTTCCAGTTTGGAGGGGTTAATAATCCTTACACTTAGCGTTTTTGTAATACGTAATAGTAATTATATTACTCTAATAGTCCAAGGGATTATAAACAACAATTATGTGAAAGAAGGTCATCGCTCACCCCTCCCATAAGCAAACTAGGCATAAGTGTAGCCATATATCACTGTTTGACAGCCAAATCGGTTTGGCTATTATTTAGCTGTCCCAATGTAATTGATGTCTCGTTATAAAATCCGGAGCAATCCGAAGGTAGACTAGTTTAATGTTTTGGAGGCTAAACAAACGGCTGACATTTTAATTTATTCAATTAGATCATCGAGAATGAAGATATTTAGGTCGTACGGACTGGCATCGCCTAAAAGATAGGACATCGCTCCGTTTTAGAGTTTGGTTTAATTTAGTTAGGTCTAGACGATGATTTTATTTAAGAGTCTCGAATCCCACCTTCCCTAGCCTTGTTTTGACACCCCTCCTAGCAAAAATTGCGAAAATTCTCAGCTGTAACTAAATAATAATCACCTGAATGGCGGAAAGCTCCAACTTCTATGCTTTTCAAGCTATGTAAAATAGGGTCTTATTGGTCGATCCAGGAGTAGTTTCAAAAAGATATTTCCTCCGTCCAGAAATATAAGCGGGATATCTGCTTAATCCGTGTCCGAAAATTTAAGCAGTATGTCTACACATTCAAGTCTTTTGATAGTACTGTCGTATTTTGCCAAAGTATGCCCGTACAAATGCTGTTGTTGTTTTCGGCCGACCCTAGAGATAGTTAAGCACTCTTCGTGGCACCGTTCAAAAGCTGATCGCGCGCTACATCGCTACAGGTTTTTACACAATTCCACGGCGTTATCTACAACATCAACAGTCAAATTCAAAAAGTGCGCGCTCGAATTCAAAAGTCTGTCAGATTTATTCCTCATTATATGCTATATACCTGCAGAATCCGTCCATGACATTAAGTGCCAACTTACATGTCCTCGAAATAGAGGGTCCGCTGATGGCGGGGAAGTGTATGGCAGAATACCCGATTGCACAGCTCCGGCGTCACAACTTCAGCGAACAGGGGAACTGCAGCGAGCTCCAAGAATCCTGCGCGATGTTCGGTGATGATCGCTCCGTCGGGGACGCACAGAATAGCTCGACGCTGTTGAGCGAGGAAGCGTTTGACGGAGCTCTTGTTGGCGGAAACGCATTCTCTATAAAATTGATCATGGGATAATAGGGGCCAAGCTCCGCATTTCTGCCGCTACGAACTCCTCCTCTCCAAACAGAGGTGTGGGAGGGAGCGTTGACCAGGGCCAGGATAATATCGTCGAGCGGCGTCGACAAACGGATATGGCGCAAGAAACTCCTCCTCTCCGAGCACGTCCTTGGTAGAGGTGTGGAAGGGATCGTTGTCCAGGACCAGGACAATCTCGACGAGTGGCGTCGACAAACGGATATGGCGCAATTAACACCGGATGAACTCGTTCGCTAGATCGGACGTAAACGAGCCAAACAAGGACTCCTGATAGGCTAGCCCCGTGCTCTCGATAGCTGCAATAGCATGAATATTCTTGCCTGTGCTTGCCACACTTGTTTGCACTGCTCACCGCCCTTTGGCGCTCCATCCTCTTCCGCGCGAGAAACACAAGTTGAAGTTGGCCTCGTCCAGATAGAAGACCTTTTTGTTGTTTGCGAGAGCGGCGTAGAACTTGACAACGTAGTCGTACCGCTTCTGTCTGTTGACTGGAGTGTTGCGGCTGACGACGTCACGATGCAGCTTCTTGAAGGTGATAATGTGCGCGTCGAGAGCGCGTCGCACGGCTTCACGGCTGACTCGTACATCAAATTTCTGCTCGACAAGCTCAGCCATATGAACGAGAGTTAGCTCTGATGTGCTGGCGAGCTCGTCGAGCAGATACTCGACATGGGCTTCGATAACTGTCTTGGTTGAGCCACCACGCTGCTGCTGGGTGCCACTCAAATCGCCGCTGTCCATTGTGGTCTTGATCCAGCCCCAGGCCGTCCGCTCATAGCCATCGTGGAGCTTAGCGACAACCTTCCATTTTTTGGCCTCTTGGGCGGCGCGCAGGATACAGGCTCGCACTGCTTGCGATTATTTCTTGTAGATTGGTGGTGGCATGATGCCAAATCAGAACTGAGGTCGTTGGCTGTCGACCGTAATGTTCCTCCCGCCATTTCCGAAGGCATTCGGGTCCAACCGTCGGTGTCCTACTATACAGAATATAGTGTCGTTTAATGACATTACGCAGGACATTTAAATTTGAGTGCCCACTTTTTAAATTTGACTGTTGGTGCTGTGAATAACGCCGCTCAATGGTGTATTGCATTTCGTGGAAATTGACATCCTGGCGAAAGATTTTCAAATTTCGAATTTTCACCACGAACTTTAGCTTTGCGACCAGGTGGCCGATTTTCTCCAAACGTCGTCACCAATGTAAACAGTGATTTGGACCAATCAGTTGCTGCTTTCTGCTCTTAAAATTAATTTTGCCCACCCATCCTGCTTATAATTTTGGACGGAGGAAATACAAAAAAATTCCGACCGACCGGCCGAAGAGCATAGTAGCCATTCTAATATTAACGTATGGATCATCTGGTTTGACGCAGTCCCGTGGGTATCCCCCATTTTCTATGATGTCAAACCTATTTTTATTCTGTAGTATTTCTAACTACTCTTATCATGTTTGGAGGTTTATTTGTCCGACTTTGAGGGTCGCGGACCAAGCACTAAAAACCCTCAAGAGAAAATAACAGTGAGAGTGTCGTCCGGCCCTTACGTCCTGTTAATCTAGCAGTCGTATAGGTTATTACACGTATAGGTACTAGTTACCTGGGCCACGAGCTTCAATCTCCCAAACATGCTCAACGAGATCTCCGCGGTATCCAACGAGATAGTCGTACATGTTTGTGGTGGGGTCACAATGGCCCGGAACAAGCAACACTTTACTGCCCAGAGCGGGAAGTTCGACTCTCTTCGCAGCTGCGACGTTCTGCGCTGGCTTTAGAATTCCATGCTCATCGCCTCCACCGTGATACTCTAACGGAGTCGGCACTTTCTCCCCATTGACCATCGTGTGTACTACTGGCGACCCTGAGTCTAGTGACACTGCCTTCGTGCCTGCATCCACCACTACACGCGGCACGGCAGCATTTGCATTCTTGCTCATTACCGTCGTCAATACATACAAACTCTGTTCCCAGTCTTTGACAACCTCTCCGTCTTCTCCCAAGTTCCTGGCATAGTCGGCGTCATTGAACAAGTACGAGCCAGGCTGCACCTCTGTGAACACCCCGCTCGACGCTTCTAGTAGATACGTGCCAGTCCCTCCTCCAGTAACCACATCACACTTCACTCCTTCCGTCACTAGCGCGTCTCTCACACTCTTGGCCTTCTCCGCGACGCCTGCAATCACCGTCTTCTTCTCGTCGTAACTGCGAATATGTTGCGCAGCGCCGTGATACGCCTGAATGCCCACCATCTGCAGCCTCGGAGCATAGCTCTCTATCTGTTTGGCCAATTCCACGGCCTCTTCTACCGTATCAACGCCACATCGATCCTGACCCACGTTCACTTCCACCAAAGCTCGGAAGTGAACGCCTTGGGCCTCTGCCACTTGTGCTGCTTGCTGTACAGTCTCGAAATTGTCGAAAATGAGACTGATCGTAGCTCCTCCTTTGGCTAATACCGCCATGCGTTCGTATCTCTCCAGCCCGTACACTTCGTTGCTTAATAGGATGTCGCGTACCCCTCCGTGGAACATGGCTTCAGCTTCGCCAACCTTCTGGCAGCACAGTCCTACAGCGTGGGAAAGTTGCAGTTGCAGCTGTCCGAGAGCAGAGGACTTGTGGGCTTTGGCATGAGGACGAATTGCAATTTTTGGAGACGCTTTGAGGGATTCTGGGAGACGCTTGAGGTTGATTTCAAGGGCGTCCAAGTCCACGAGCAAACACGGCGTCTCCAAGGACGAAATCGAATCACCTGCATGTCCGTGGACGCGACGAGATACGCGAGAGGCTGAAAGTGCTGATAGACGGCGGATTGAGAGCGCACCAATAGCTGTAGCAGCCGCAGCAGCAGTCAAAGGAAGCGCCGATGAGCGCCACATGTTCGTTTGTAGTCGAGATCTTTTTGGAAGTTTACATTTAAGTGGTATACATAATTCAAACACAATACATGAACTTGAAGAATGGCGTCAACAACACAAGATAACGCACAACTGGGTTACATGTCTTTTGCTATCGGGAGCTCATAAAATAACTCAGTCGATCAGCATCATGAAGGCAACTTTTAGGTCACGCAATACTTCTTAGACAGTTTTCAGTTTCTTACGAGACAACACTATTCTAAACAACGCTGCGAAGGTGATGATAGACATATAGACAGGAAAATCCTTCAGCAAGTTCGTTGGTTAGAGCACACAACATCACCAATGCCTCAGTCGATCATTCGTCCTGATGGTGGCACACGAAGCTGTAGCATCAAGAGTTCATATATTAATACAGTACATATTAATAATCTCTAACAATCGTCGAATTGCAGTAATATTTTTTCAATAAAACCATCCATTTCTAAAAAAAATCACCTGTTATCCGGTTCTGCCAATATATTCACTCGCATTAGAGTACGTGGCAGGCCCACAATTGCAAACAGTTCTGCAAGAAATAGAGCCTTTTTTAAACAGCTGAAACGGAGGCAAAATCTTTCAGATACGCAAAAATAGAGTAACCCTTTTTGGACCAAAGTTTGTCAAAGGTTTGGTGGCCGGCATAATACATGCCAAAGGAGGGGGGGGGTTAAGATTAAGATCCTTATATCAATGCCAACCTCACCTTTCGTTGAAGCGTTACTTTAAAGAGCTCTTAATTCTTTTCCGGACAAGACATGTGTCGTATCTGAGATCTCAAACTACATCGATATCTCTCACCACATACTCTAAAAAAAACGTTCGAAAGAAATATAGACTAGAATTTCCAAAACAAAAACAAAATAGTTTGTTTGAGTCCAAAATTTGTAAAAAGGTCACTCATCACTACAACTTGTATAAAATCTCAAGTAGTACCTTTCTCGTATTGTACGAGTCGCACATTGTTATTTGGCAATGATCTTTTATAAAATTGCTATAGCTCACAGCTGGGGTGTTATTTGCCGGCAAAAAACATTAAATACAAATAAACGGGGTTGGCATCAATTAATAACATAATGTTGATTTTCTGCTACAGTGCCTACGGTAATTAGTCTGTGTGAATAAATAGTCACAGCTCGAAATTAGTCACACCGTTCGAATGTGAGACTAATTGAGCAAGAAAATGTCGTGTTCAAAATTAGTCTGAGTTCATAATTAGTATCACCTTATTTTGGGCATTCGAATTGGCGCAGTGGAAAAGACTGGCCCGGTTTACACTCCTGGCGTGAGTTCGAGTCCCTCCGCAGCAGCAAACGGTGCTCGAGTTTTACTGGTGATGCAGTAACAGGTCATTTAATAAAAGTGGGTTTCCCACTTACCCTCAACGCGGCACACTACGAAGCAGCAGGTTATGTTTTTAAGGATATGAATTATACTTTTAATAGAATAATAGCTATGCAGTTTCCTTAAGCTTATTTGAAGAGTATTTGATATTTTATAATTGGAAATGTTATTTTTATGCGACTGCGTCTCTTGGAGGCTAATGTGGTCTATTCTCATTCCAGAAATTCTTCCAACACACCAACGCCTTTTGGAGGCTAATGTGGTCTATTCTCATTCCAGAAATTCTTCCAACACACCAACGCCTCTTCTCCCTCTAATAACTGTCTTTTAATGAGCTCCAACTCAGCTCAACTTTCTTCGTGTGGTGGCTGTGGTGCCCTAGTTGGTCCTATTCACGTCTGCCCAATCTGCTCTGCTCATATGCACCCATTTTGTGGGAAGCCTGTCGGACAAGAGGGCTTCGGACAGCATGTTCTCTGTCCAGTGGCGTCGAATGTGGAATGAGAAAAAGATCGAGTTGATTGAGGAGGAGGCATGGCAAAACAAAAAGAGGTCCGATGGAACCTGGTCAGGAAAACTTAAGAATCCAGGAAAGCATTTGTTTCTGTCCCTGGCTGCTAAAGCAGTACGCCAAGTCAACTCTCAAAGGGACAAGAATAATGTGAACTACGCTCGGAAAGTCATGATTCGATGCGGACTCTCGCTGGATGTTGATGGTGTATGGAGAACTGAGCAGCTATTCAGCCACCTTCAAGTAATCATCAAGAAGTTCCCAGATCAATTTGCTGGACAAGCGGTTCCATTGGATATGGCAAACAAACACACAAAAAAACAAAAGAATAACCAGACCAGCTTCTCGACAATCGTAAACTAGTGTGACTAATTAGGGTGAGACATTAATTAGTCTAAGTGTGACTAATTCTACCACACCTTAAATAGTCAGAGTGCATAATTAACCACACTCATACTAATTTAGGTGAGCAGAGTCTGCAGCACCTCACATAAATTAGTATGAGTGAGACTAAATACCGTAGCTACTGTAGCTGCTTGAGGTTTGACGCAGCGATTCATAAGCGCGAACGCACATATTCAATAATACGCTATTTTTAGCCACCTTGGTTCCGAGCGTCGTAACTTGCGACATAGTCTATAAAATATGTCGTAAGTTTCAACACACTGTGTGACGGGGTCACACAGCACCTTGCGCTAGATGAAGTTGGCTTCCGAAAGTTTACAAACTCGCCGTGAACGGCAGTTCACAGGTCCCATCGCCTAAAGGGGAACGAAGTGACCTATTTTAAGTAAGTTGTAAGCTGAATATATGTATAGGTATGCTAAGCTTGAGTTAAATATAAAACCTCTAAGCCGCCTTTGGTAAAGCTATTTCATCATACAACGGCTAGCCTCTGATGTCCTGGTACCATGTACCAGATATCCCGAAGTATGATGTGTCACACTTCATGTAACTAGGGGTACACTTAGGGCTACGTACGCCATTACATCCTCCCCCACTTAGGTTCGGCTTACCGCCCAATCAGAATGAAGAAGTGTACGTCACAAACTATCATTTTCATAGTCGAAATACATCAACTCCGCGGCGCGAGCGCGGCGGAGCCTCGCTTACAGTTAGAACCTCGAGCAGCGGTTAAACCGGTCTCCTCATCCCTTAGTAGCCTCCTGGAGTGCAGAGACTTAGGCTTTGCGCTCTTGGCTTGCGCCATTCCGGGAGCAAGGCCGAGTCTGGGAGCACTCGCGATGCTCCTGTGGGCTCCGTGGGTTGGCACAGCCCAGTGCCTAGCGATCACAAGGACGACAGCGTGCAGTCGCTCGCTAGTGATCACCGTGATCGCAGGACGCCTGTGCGCTCTGAGAGACCGGTCGTCAAGGCTAAGGGCACTCCCAAAGCTGGCGACGACGAGGGGGAGAAACCTCGCAAACATCGCTCGCTTGCCGAGGGTCTTGCGCGTGCTAAGGCCGCGAAAGCCGAAGGCGTCAAGCCCTCTAAGAAGCGTGTGGCTCTGAATTCTCCACGCTACGAGGCGAAGGAGACTGGGTACTTCAATCGGAACCTCGTTGGTTCCTCTGATGGAGCGGACGAGGGGAGGAGGTAGAGTGTGTTATTGCGGAGCCCCGGGAGATCACTAACGACTTTGACCAGCAGCAGGAGGACTTCCAAGCTGCCCAGCGTGCGCGTGGGGGGTTAGTGGTGGCATCCGTCAGCCAGGGAGCTGCCATCAATTCAAGAGGGTATTGGCCTCCCAAGGAGAGCGCTGGGGCTGACCTCTTCCTGGATATTCTAGTAGCTCCTCATGATCTTGTTGGTGGCCACACTTGTAAGGGCGTTTACGAGCGTAACCTGGTCCAGAAGGAGCAGTTGTTGGTCGACCACTTGGAGGCGGCCCGGTGCGTGCTTCTCGCGCCGCACCGAATCCCTTTAAAGGACTTCACGACTTGTCGTAAGAAGCCCGATAACCGGAGTGGTCTCTACCCTCTCGGGGGCTACCCCTGGGCTCTTCCCGAGAACTTTCTCAACTGGAACTCATGTGAGGACATGTTCTGGGGTTGGGTGGAGTCTCTCAAGTACTCAGCCTCGGAGTTACGGGAGCTCTATAAAGATCAGCTGCTGTCCCGCATCCTGGACCAGCGTGATCTTCGTGTCCGGTTCGCCCACTTACTTAGCGAATGCTGCCAAGGGACATCCTGGAGCACGCGGCTTCTAGCGCTCACGATGAGCGCGGGTACGGTGTGTCGTCAACGTCCGTACCTCGCTCGGGCAAGAAGCCCCGGACTACTTATGAAGCTGCCGCCGCTTCTGTTCCCAGATTACGACAGCCTTCGGGCAGTCAATCAGGAGCCGCTCAACTGGCTCCCATGAGCTCTCAGAGTGGGCATACCCCTCCACTTCATGAGGAGCTGTTGCTTACCGCGTCGCCGTTGCACCTGGGGAATCTGCTCCACGTGATAGTTGACTTCTCCGTTCCGGTCAAGCAGGGGTGGAGGTGCCCTCATACGAGTACGAATACGTGGTGCCCCCCGAACGCTACTCTGGTCCAAGTGCTTCTTCTGCGGGTACGACGCAGGGCCTTGAAGTTGACCGCCTTCATCAACGCGTCCTCGTACTTGAGATTACACTTGGTTTTAGGCCTGGCGGGGATGCTGCCGCCCAGACCTGGAATCAGGGCGAGCTCGCTCGTCTTGCGGGCCGCCTGGCCCGGTTGGAGCGTAAGGTCTCGAGCCTGCATCTACGGGTGGACCGGCGGGCCTCTTCGACCGATCTTGACGAGGCCTTGCGCATGATCCGACGTATCGAGGCATTGTTGCCACGTCCGGAGCCGCATTCTGCGCACTCCCAGTTGCACGCGTATGGTGACGTACTCGGCGTATGGCTCCGGGGTCCGCTCGTACGGGGCCCTCCGGCGTACGGTCTTGACAACAGCCTTGCAGATCCGCCCGAGGCTTGGGTGCCTGCTCCGACGCCCTCGACGACGTATGTAGCTGGCCCTCGCTTCGAGGAGCTAGGCCAAGGTGGGTCTGCCAGGCAGCAACCGCCTGCGGATCATAGTACCGCTTAAGACGTCCAACGTAGAACGTCTGGTGCGTCGTCATTAACTTAGGCAGGTCAGTGGTGTACGACGCAC